CTAAACACAAACTTTCTTTAGGTACTCGGCCTATGACAGAGTCTCAAACTCGTTCCAACTATATATATTTATCTACCCCCTACCCCCCTCCTACCCCATTAATGTCAAGGGCATACAAATCACCACAACTTTAGCATTTTAAGTGTTAATTAGATATTTTTAGCAATATATACCCTCCAAATGTAATTCATAACATTTTTTATTGAAAAAGCTAGAGTATATGACAAAATGAAACCAAAGGATAAAAATGTTAACACAAACATATAATAGGATTAAAATTGGTGTTAAAACCCATGTTAAGGTTTGATATACCTATACAGTTAACAGACAGACCAGAGAAAATTTAAAAAATCTTAACAATTTCGCCAACTGGTGTTACATGTATTAGGAATACTTTTCAGATTTTCCTAAATTTTACAAACAAGTACAATATGTAGGATCGTGTAAAAATGTTGCCAGAGGGCGTACAGGTCCCATACAAACAAAAATCACTGTAGACATGCATGCACATCCATGTTTGTAGGGCTGATATATACTTGACCATATATAGTCAATGATTTCATACTTCTTATATACAAAAGATGTTTCATATACAGTAGAGTCTACCTGATCAATGCAATATTAATTCAACATATACAATTTATGTTTTGACAGAAGTTCATTATTACTAAGGTCACATTGTAAACATGAAAGGCTAACAAGAGGCCCAGGGGGCCTGTTTCGCTCACTTTGATATTTAAGAAGTCATAGTACAATATTCTCATTAAATATTATACTCTAATACTAAAAGCTAACTTTGTCAGGCTCCATCCCAGGAAGCTACCAGCCAAATATTATACTCTAATACTAAAAGCTAACTTTGTCAGGCTCCATCCCAGGAAGCTACCAGCCAAATATTATACTCTAATACTAAAAGCTAACTTTGTCAGGCTCCATCCCAGGAAGCTACCAGCCAAATATTATACTCTAATACTAAAAGCTAACTTTGTCAGGCTCCATCCCAGGAAGCTACCAGCCAAATATTATACTCTAATACTAAAAGCTAACTTTGTCAGGCTCCATCCCAGGAAGCTACCAGCCAAATATTATACTCTAATACTAAAAGCTAACTTTGTCAGGCTCCATCCCAGGAAGCTACCAGCCAAATATTATACTCTAATACTAAAAGCTAACTTTGTCAGGCTCCATCCCAGGAAGCTACCAGCCAAATATTATACTCTAATACTAAAAGCTAACTTTGTCAGGCTCCATCCCAGGAAGCTACCAGCCAAATATTATACTCTAATACTAAAAGCTAACTTTGTCAGGCTCCATCCCAGGAAGCTACCAGCCAAATATTATACTCTAATACTAAAAGCTAACTTTGTCAGGCTCCATCCCAGGAAGCTACCAGCCAAATATTATACTCTAATACTAAAAGCTAACTTTGTCAGGCTCCATCCCAGGAAGCTACCAGCCAAATATTATACTCTAATACTAAAAGCTAACTTTGTCAGGCTCCATCCCAGGAAGCTACCAGCCAAATATTATACTCTAATACTAAAAGCTAACTTTGTCAGGCTCCATCCCAGGAAGCTACCAGCCAAATATTATACTCTAATACTAAAAGCTAACTTTGTCAGGCTCCATCCCAGGAAGCTACCAGCCAAATATTATACTCTAATACTAAAAGCTAACTTTGTCAGGCTCCATCCCAGGAAGCTACCAGCCAAATATTATACTCTAATACTAAAAGCTAACTTTGTCAGGCTCCATCCCAGGAAGCTACCAGCCAAATATTATACTCTAATACTAAAAGCTAACTTTGTCAGGCTCCATCCCAGGAAGCTACCAGCCAAATATTATACTCTAATACTAAAAGCTAACTTTGTCAGGCTCCATCCCAGGAAGCTACCAGCCAAATATTATACTCTAATACTAAAAGCTAACTTTGTCAGGCTCCATCCCAGGAAGCTACCAGCCAAATATTATACTCTAATACTAAAAGCTAACTTTGTCAGGCTCCATCCCAGGAAGCTACCAGCCAAATATTATACTCTAATACTAAAAGCTAACTTTGTCAGGCTCCATCCCAGGAAGCTACCAGCCAAATATTATACTTTTAGATTATTCCGAAGAAGTCATTGAAAGTGTTTCACATATTTGACCCCTGTGACCTTGAAAACAAGTCAAGGTAATTTTCATTTTTAAACTTTGTCAGGCTCAATCCCAAGAAGCTACCAGCCAATTATGAAGATTCTATACCTTTCAGTTCTAAAGAAAAAGTCGTTTGAAGCATTTGAAATATTTCACCCCTGTGACCTTAAAAGTAGGTCAAGGTAATTTTTGTTCTCAAACTTTGTCAGGCTCTAACCAATGAAGCTTTAGCCAAATATCATGATTCTCATCCTGTCTATTCTTCAGAAGAAGTCGTTTAAAGCAAAAGTTGACGGACGACGAAGAACGGATGATGGAAGGACGGAGAACAGACGCCGCAACATGACATAAGCTCACTTGCCCTCTGGGTAGGTGAGCTAAATATGGGGCATGCCAGCTTGTGTTGTCATCAACAATATGGGCAAGTACATCTTGGGGCGAGACACATAGATCCTTGTCCACCAAGCATGATAATGTAACCGTTTACCACAGCATGCATACAATACCTGAACTACTGATTAGTATTTATGTGTCTTTTAAAGATTTCAGCCATCCCCACCGGCAGGGGGACACCTTATAACTATACACCGCCTCACTCCATGGATGTTTCATATGAACGGAAAATCTCATCAAAGATGATAGACAGGTTTATAGGTGAATGACATCATATATATTTAACAGAATAAGGTTGCATGTCAACATAACATGTATATAGATATGCTATAACTTCCAACTCCCCAGTAAATATAAATTTATTGTATTCAAAATGTTGATAATGCCTCAATAAATTACCTTTATAAATTATGCTTTTAACAACACGAGTAACAAAAGGGTTTGTTTTTGTAAAAATGTATGTACCCTGGTACTGAAAACAAAATCAGGTGTTAGATGCAATCCTACAGGTACAAAAATATTTACAATGCTATGGCCTTGAAATGCCATGAAGACCTTTTTACCTAGTATACAGATTTTGTCTGTTTACATATAAACAACACTGATCCACAATACACTCCACACATCCTGGTCCATCCCAGAGATAAAACACCTGAAGAAAACATTGCAAGATATTCATCAGATTAGATTTCTTACATTAATAACACATAAGTGTACACATTGTTAGTGCAGTACCGACTTGTTGATTATATCATCATTCTGTACATATTTACATACGTGTGCTTAACCAGTCATTTGCCTGATAAAGATGACAGAGTTGATGTCATGCTATTTATAAAAACTAAACATATAAATATTTCACTGGTGTTGTTAAATTATCTTGTATACAATTAACAATCTGGAAAAAAGGTTTTAAAACATTTCTTCTTTTACACAAGAACATCCACCAGTTATCTACACTTTTCCATACATCCACCAGTTATCTACGCTTTTCCATACATATTGTTATAACAGCCACCAGTTATCTACACTTTTCCATCCATCCACCAGTTATCTACGCTTTACCATACATATTGTTATAACATCCACCAGGTATCTACGCTTTTCCATACATATTGCTACAACATCCACCAGTTATCTATGCTTTTCCATACATATTGTTATAACAGCCACCAGTTATCTACACTTTTCCATCCATCCACCAGTTATCTACGCTTTTCCATACATATTCTTATAACATCCACCAGTTATCTACGCTTTTCCATACATATTGTTACAACATCCACCAGTTATCTATGCTTTTCCATACATATTGTTATAACATCCACCAGTTATCTATGCTTTTCCATACATATTGTTATAACATCCACCAGTTATCTACACTTTTCCATACATATTGTTATAACATCCACAAGTTATCTATGCTTTTCCATACATATTGTTATAACATCCACCAGTTATCTACGCTTTTCCATACATATTGTTATAACATCCACCAGTTATCTACGCTTTTCCATACATATTGCTATAACATCCACCAGATATAAAAACTTTATTATATATAATGTAACAATGATGTCCTACAGTTTTGTCCTACATAATGTAACAATGACGTCCTCCAGTTTTGTCCTACATATGTAACAATGACGTCCGCCAGTTTTTTCCTACATAATGTAACAATGACGTCCGCCAGTTTTGTCCTACATAATATAACAATGACGTCCTCCAGTTTTGTCCTACATAATGTAACAATGACGTCCTCCCAGTTTTGTCCTACATAATGTAACAATGACGTCTGCCAGTTTTGTCTTACATATTGTAACAATGAAGTCTGCCAGTTTTGTCCTACATATTGTAACAATGACGTTCCCCAGTTTTGTCCTACATATTGTAACAATGACGTCCCCCAGTTTTATCCTACATATATTGTAACTTTGTCATATATACTCATTACTGGCATAACATCCCTCAAGTGTCTTAAACTTTGTCCTATATATTGTAACTTTGTCATAATCTAGTAACAATGACATCCTTCAGTTGTCTAACTGTTGTCATAATCTAGTAACAATGGCATCCTACAGTTGTCTGTTGTCATACATCTAGTAACAATGACATCCTACAGTTGTCTAACTGTTGTCATACATCTAGTAACAATGGCATCCTACAGTTGTCTGTTGTCATAATCTATAACAATGACATCCTACAGTTGTCTAACTGTTGTCATACATCTAGTAACAATGACATCCTATTAGGCAGTTGTCTAACTGTTGTCATACATCTAGTAACAATGACATCCTACAGTTGTCTAACTGTTGTCATACATACTGGCGTAACATCCCTTGGGTGTTGTATACTTTGTGATACATGTACATTGTAATACTATCCACCATGTGTCTCCCTAGGACAACGTTAACTGTGAAGCTGACACTGGGATTTAGGCATACACAGGTTAACACATGAGACTGTATTATATACATTGAAGCTTCTGTTGAAGCTGCTGCCAATCCTGTTGTGCTATCTCAGTCACTTGTATTGAATTGTCTGACCACATTGTCTTATATCTTAGTCACAGTTTGGTTGAACTGTCCAATCCAATAGTGTTTTCTGTCATGAACCGTTCAATCAGAGAATGTCACCTGTTGCTAACTATCCAATCAGAATGTGTTACCTATTAGTAACCTTTTGTGAAACAGTCCAATCAGCATGCTTTGTTTCAGGCACCTATTGGCGAACTGCACAACCAGAATATTTCAGATTCTTCAACTGAAACTTGTCAATGTGAACATGTTGTCTGAATTGCCTGATCAGTCAAACACTTTCCCCTTTTTGTAGAAGAATTTACAATCTAGTCCCAGCTTTTTCATGGCCTTGATTATGTCGCCGATCTTGCCCTTGCTATGCAACATCTTCCACTTAGCCAAAATTTGGTAGGCCTGTTCTACCGTTCCTTTGCAGTCGTTCAGGATGGTAGTGATATGGTGGTTCTCAAGTCCTAGCTCCAAACCAAAACTCATTTTGTCCTTCAGGCTCATACAGCTACTGATCCGTGACAGGTGTAAATCGCTTGGGCTAAGGTTCTGATAATGTGGCGGCAGGAAATCTGTAAAACAGAAAATTATTTTTCTACTTTGAATGCATGCATATTAAAAGGATGAGTGTTCTTTTATCACAGTTTATGTCACCATGGTAACCGTCTGGATAAATGGTGGCTGCAAATATATTGTGTCGTTTTGATGCTCAGACTTATACTTTAGTCATACATTTTATGACTAAACAGCACCTTTTTACACACAAACTATATCCTTCTTTCTTCCGTAAAGTGTAAACAATAATTTCAATAATAATTCAATTATTTGAATAATGATAGTTGTTTGCTCCATGGAGACCCCAAAATTACATCATGACATCAGCAATATCGCTTGTCAATTTTTGTTTTTCTGAACTACTGATATATGGGACAGTAATATTAAAATGACAGAAAAAAAAGAAAAAAATTGATTTACACAATCTACATACTGGATTTCCACTATCAGTACACTTGAATTAGTGAAAAAAAGTCTGAAACACTACTTACATGCCACTGGAATGGGATTACCCTGTAATTGAAACAAAAAGAGTTCATTACATATTTTCTACCTAAAATAAGCCCCTCATCACATGTTAAGAACTATGAGGCATGACTGTATAACATTTTACTTGCATTTTTTTTTCAACATTAAATATTCAAATCAAATTAGCACTGCATTCAAGCCTAACAACATGGCCACCTCCTTTTGCAAAGTGTCACAATTTGAACCTTGAATATTCCTCCACAGATTTTATAAATATGATATATACTATATCAAACCTCATTACAGAACATTTTTGAAAGAATATCTTAAAATGTTATTGTAAATCAAGAGGAAAATAAGATTATAGTTATAATTATACAATGTACATTGGTTCCTGATGTGATCCATTTCAAGGACAAGGATCTAATATATTGATTAACTAGCTCTCCATCCATAGGTCCAAATTAAAAATAAAATCCACAAACACTGTGATAAAAAAAAGAATTACTGAAAGAATATGTGTTTGTTGGATCCTGAACCCAAAACCCCATTTTCTAGTCGGATTCTCTAGAAAATAATCTCTTGCCAAAGCTAGTAATGTGACCTTGACACTATGTATCATGCACATGCTTTACACGATCAGGATCAGTAATTTGAGTAGCCAAAACTTCATATCCTTTGTTTTCAATTATGACCTTTTTTGAAAACACAACACATTGGTAGAGCATCCATCAAGAGTTTGGAGGGTCCTGGGTTCGAACCCTGGTCTGGCCAAGCATTTTCCCCATCTCCTGTTACAGTGGTGCCTGCCGGTGACCAGCCCTTGTTTCAAGCATTGAGTGTACACTTGGCAAGGAAATACCAGAACCTGGCTTGTAAATGGTTGTGTCTTTGGGGGCATAGCCTTAGCAAAAAGGAGGGAGGATTGTAGCGGAACTGGACTGGGTCGTTGGCGACCAGGTAGTTTGGAGGGTCTCGGGTTAGAACCCCGGTCTGGCCTTGCATGTTTCCATCTCCTTTTATATATGGCCCCCCACCCCCTAGTTCCAGTTTGAACACTAAACTTAACACAATACTTACCACCTCCTCCTCGCTACAGAACCAGGGCTTCAGGTCTGTCTTTCGCAGATATCTACCTTCTGCTTGGAAGATTTGCTCATCTTGTCCCATATTGTCAATATCTTCCTTGCGCACAAACTTTACCTTTTGATTTGCTTTTGAGGTACCTAAGCAAAGAAAATACTTGCAGGCAAGATTTTTTGTGTTTTGTCCCTGCAGTCTGAGGACCTCAATAATTGTTTCTTCTAGGAATGTGCGCACATTCAATCCCACACCTGCTTTGATACAGGAGTCATCATTGCTATATGTAAACAGTATTACATTGATCGCTGAGTTGTCATATGACAAAATCATTGTCCAGGCCGCTGTCACTTCTAAACAGCCGAAACCTTTCTTGATACAGTTCATCTTGTGGTTGCTTTCTGGTACATCCAGATTTGATGCAATTTTAAATCTGGTCAAACAAGCAGCTAGCAGTTTATGAAAGACTGGAAGGGAGATGAACTGTTTTCCTAATGTAAGACGAAGTGTTGCCGTTCTCTGTAAGGAATCTGATTCAAGGACATTGTCCACCCATGTCTGATCAACATCAGACAACATGCTTGGAACAATGTAATAATCTAGATTTTCAGGGCAGTCTGTGTGGGACCTGAAGGCTACAGGAGGTGCTAGGAGTCCCAGTCTCTCCATTACCATGAGTAGAGTATCTTTGTAGCGTAAGAAGTCTTCCTTGTCCATTTCTTCTTTCCCTCCCCTCCACAACTCATTAATGAAGGGTGTGGTGAGTTGGCCATCTGTAACATAATTTTCCCACATCACCATTCTCTTGGAGCCTCTGCCTTCAATGTTCTTTGGGTTTGTGATGAGTCTGCGGAAGGCATAGATGACCCATTGTGGGTCAATGATGATTGTGTGGTCTTTGAAGCGATGGGGACCATCCAGACCCATATCCTCGTCAAAGTACATGATGTACCCCATCAGATGCAAGTACCTGAAAAATGAAGTCTCCTTTAAGTCTTTACCACTTTATATACATGATATATGTTGCCTTACACTCATATGTAAATCCTGCAACTTCAACTGCAGTGAATTCCATTAAAACAAGCAAATTTGTGGAATTTTTATCCCCTGCTTTCAGGTCATGTATTACCTATAGTCTACTGTAACCTTATCAACTGTGTGTAAATGTGCATAAGGAATTTTGGTTGAAATTGACACATTAGTAGGGTAGTTATTTCATGGAAACCAATTAGCCAATCTCAAATGTCTAACTTCATTAAGTATGCGTAAATATGCACAAATCACATTTATAATAGAGCTTGGCCTGAGACATGTCAACCTGTATGTGCATACCACATTCCATTGAAATTGACCCATTATCGGGGCTGTTAATGCCCAGAAACTGGTTAGCCAATCACAAGTTTGTAACCTCATTAAGTATGCCTTAATCTGCGCAGATCAAATTCACAATCAAATTCTTCCTTAAACATGTCAATATGTAAACATTAACTAAATTTCCTTGACAATGAACATCTATTTTAAATGTAGTTATTGCACAGAAACTAAAACATGACAAATGGACAGACAGACAGAACTAAACACACAGAGGGATTGACGAAAGCACTGACAATGTGATAACTTTATACCCCCTGACTAAGTGGGAGGGGGTTACATATTTAACAACATCCCTCACTGTATGGTGAGTGGCATTACTCTGTACAGTGAGTGGCATTACTCCTACAGAGTTAACAACATCACTAGCTGTACTGCGAGTGGCATAACCCCTTCAGAATTAGCAACATCCCTCGCTGTATTGTGAGTGGCATTACTCCTGCAGAATTAACAACATCCCTCGCTGTACTGGGAGTGGCATTACTCCTACAGAATTAGCAACATTCTTAGCTGTACTGTGAGTGGCATTACTCCTACAGAATTACCAACATCACTAGCTGTATTGTGAGTGGCATTACTCCTACAGAATAAGCAACATCCCTCACTGTAGTGTGAGTGGCATTACTTCTACAGAATAAACAACATCACTAGCTGTACTGGGAGTGGCATTACTCCTACAGAATTAGCAACAATCCTAGCTGTACTGTGAGTGGCATTACTCCTACAAAATTAGCAACATCCCTAGCTGTACTGTGAGTGGCATTACTCCTACAGAT